AATTTAATTATTTTCTACTGTTCGAAATTCATGGCACATTACCGTACTATGATCTGGAATCTCATCTTTGATCTACTTTTACCCATGAACTGCACTTTAAAAAGACTCTTATATCTCCAAAAGTGGCAAAGATATAACCATAACAACTATTGAACTTGAATTGGATGTCACATTTTCAATCTTACTGTGACCTTAAATTTGACCCTTGACCTCTCCCATGATCTGCACTTATATTTTCCAGTAAACTTTGGATTGAAGGTCTTATTTTCACAATCTTTCAGCAACCTGAGATTTGACATTTTACTTTTCCCATGATTTTGTTATAATGCTTATCAAGCACAACACTGGAGGTGGTGTCCTATTTTTTTTCCTTAAGTATTCACTTACTCCTGCTGGTGGTACAATACCCAGAGGTGGTATCACCTCTCTGATCCACTAGTTAATTTATGTAGACATCAAAAGTCTTTTTTCTTATGTATTTACTGAATAGCATAGCCTCAATTGCGCTTGCTTTTTATTATTCTTGGAAAATGGGTGATTACTTCTAGAATTCCCAGAATATGTGGGTTGTTTGGTTCTCTTAATATGAGCTTAAATGTGTTTTTGTCAAGGGAAATAAGGAGATGCCATGCAGCTTTATGTATTACATATTTAGGTTCTTCATCACAATCTGTGGCTTTAGCTCATTGCAATATCATAAGTCACACTTCTCCGTCATGTTGTCACTGTCATCTTTGCTTGCCATCACCTTAGCCAACCTAATAACTGTCAAACCAAATGTTTGATTCACTTTAAATGTACTCAGTTTTATTTGGTAAAGACACAGGTGTAATTTAAAAACATTAAAATCAAATTATTTTAATTTTTATACATGGACAATGGTGTCTGAACATACCGCCATCACCTGTGTTTGTACATATTGCAAGTTTTTTTTTTGTTTTGTTTTTTTTTTTACAAAAGTTACAATAATAGTTTAAACAATAATGACCTATGCGATCAATCTGAACAAAGTAATTTTCTTACAAAATCCTGTGAACATTGAAACTACAAAAACTGTTCAGAAAAATATTCTAAGATAATCACCAAAGCACCTGACCTCTTGAAGTTGAAATAAGGACTCGGGTGTTTATATGTTTCAATATGTTTCTTGGAAATTTCAGTAATTATCCTCAAACAGCACAATAAATATATATTTTGAATTTTAGGACAAGCTTTGAAACTTAGTGACCAATCATTTTTATGTACTAGAATTATTAATCCCAATTCAATGATCATACATTTGCTTTTTCAGAGAAACATTCTTGGTATTGACGTCAATATTGTTGAAATTTTCATGATTTTTTCCATTTTTATTACAACCCTCTATCTCACCTAGATTCCAATTTAACACCTAACTGTCTGGTACCTTTTCGGATAAGTTAAATTTAATCCAACAGGTAGTATCCTTAGGTTATGCAAATTTTGTAGTACTGTCTGACACGTACTGCTTGTGTGAAATTTATTCATTGCCATTTGTGACATGTTTTATATGGAATCGTGTCTAGGCATTTATAAGTTAAATTGAAAGACATACTTCTAATAATACATTACATATGCACTTATGATAATACTTACACAAACCATAACTTTTTGTAAGTAAGCTTTGTATTGTAGGAGTAAAAGAAATAAAGGATGGATTCACTCAAGATCAGGAAGTTTCTTTTTCATTGAGTTTTGTTTTTATCAAACTCCATGGGAGGCTAAAAAAGGTGCTCTGCGTGGCTGAAAAAATTGGAATTTAAGTACAAAGCCAGACACCATAAATTAACTTGTTTGAATTTTGTTGAACAGTATACACTTTTCCAGGTCCAATCCCTGTTTACTCAAACTTACACAGCTGCCTTGTCAAGTGAAAACTGGGGTACCCCCTTTAACAGCTTAGGCCTTTTGTACTCTTCCACATGTTCATTTTTATCACTTTTTGCACCATTTGCTAGGTTGAGCAAGTAAAGGCAGGCCCAAATTAATGCTACACATTGGAATAGCCAAACCAAGAATGATGATGTGTCAAAACAGCAGGTTGAGTACAAAATTCACCAGCATTGGCTGGTTGGAGAAGAGCTCAATCTGTGCCTTATGATTAGTAGAAAGCTTTTCCCCTTAAATCTACTTAAATCTTCTTAAATCTCAGCATCATATATTGGGGACTTACAAAAAAAGTGTACAAGGACAAAAAATGATAAAATTTGCTACTGTAGGATGTTTCTTTGACAGATAGCTTAGATATTTTCTATTTATACTTTCAAAAATAGATATAACATTTTTTTTTTTACTCCAAAACACTTTCCAGGTATAAATTTTTTTTGAAATATGATTTTTCAATTAGCATTTACCATCAAAAATGTCTGTTGTCAAAGACATTCGAAATCCTTGTAGTTATGCGTCATGAATTACAATATTGCTGTAACTGAACAATTATATTACCACAGTTCATGTTTTACAATAATATGTTACTTTTTGTCAATGTATGTAAGTTTTTTTTTTTTTTTCGAGAAAATATATTACAGTATGTGCTAATAGGCGACATGAGTTAAGGTCTATCACCATTTTTCTCATATGTTCTTTTTTAAATTGTTTGCGATAAAATGAAGAGTGGCCTTTTTATTTTTTGACAACTTGGCTGTAGCTATTGCAACCATGAGTACGTGATTCCTCTCACACAAAGACCTCTCACACAAAGACATATATTTTTCAAAACCACTTAAACACTCAGAGAAAGTACATCGCTGCCAAGGCAGTACAATTCTCATTACTAGTTATTTAATAATCAACACCAAAATCTCATTGATTCTAAGTAAGTCCATTCTTGACCTTTTCTGAAAAGTTTATCAAAATCCTTACTTAAAATATTTGAGTTACGCTGTACAGCGAAAACAATCTTTTTGGCAGAGGTTATTAATCATTTTTCAAGTTGATGGAATGACCTACAATTATAACTCAGAGGTGACCCAAGCAAGTTTGAGGTAAAATAGTGTTTGTTTTCTAGATTTCCCCATATTAGGGTTGTAATACAGAAAAATACATCTGCTCAACCATATAATACATTTAGACTTTCAGATCTAATTTTTTTTAAAATTTATGCCTTTTAAGTGAATTTGTAAAAAATTGAAGCTGTAGTCACCCAATCAGATGTGATGTCACAGTCAGTAATCACCTCTGTTTCAAAAAGAAAAAAGAAAAGAAAAATAGTTTTAGGTGTCTTGGCTAAACAAACCCTGGCCCCTGTTTCATAAAATAATAATAATCAAAGATAACTTTTTTAACTGAAAATTTCGGTCCATTTTTACAATTTAGCCATAGTGATTAAGAACAAGTTCAAAAAATATTCAGAGAAAAAGCACAACTTCACCAAGGCATTCTGCTAAAGTCTGTTAGAAGTGGGCCAGTAGGCTAAAATTTAGATCCTTTAGTTGGCTGTCTTAATTAGCAGCCGTTTGATGACTGGCAATCTTAACCTTCTTCAAAAATACAATACCACTCAAATACAACTTTGTCATGGTTGCAAGAGCTACAGCTACTGTTGTCAAAAAAATAAACAGGCTGGACTTCACCTACTAATTATTTGCCAATAGCCCAGCTAACAGAGGGAGGGGGTGCTTTTATTTGTAATATTATATATTACACACGGATATTGGAGAATGCCTAAAGAAATTGTGGAAATGAATTGATGTAACTTATCCCATGTATGTAACTGCAATTGCAACAACCATAAATCAGTTTAAATCAAATATAGGAATATAGAAAATATAGATTTTCAAATGATGCTGCCAGGCAGAAAAAAAAACAGGAGTATAAAAAATTCCTGGATATAAATGGCATAAATGATTTTATATATGATGATTTCTTATGACTTCTGATACTAAAATTTTCCAAAGATAACATTTACTGATGGTACTTATTAATGCAATACCAGTGTAGACGCTGTTTTGGATTATAGTGCAGGGGCATACACATGTGCAATGTTTCACTGAAAATTATAGTGGACCTTTGCACAGGTGATGGAGAAATGATCTTAGTACCTAGAGCACAATCACATAAAGATGTCACTTCATTTGACATACATGAAGTCTGATAGAACTGTTCTCCTGCAACACCTGCATATATAATGCAATACCCCTATTTGCTTTTAATTGAATGCTATTGTATCACAAAGTATGTTAAATCTGAAATTTGACATTTTTATGAAATTATGTACTTTTTGTGAAAAGAAGGCCTGCATGGTTGTCACATTTAAACGTTCTAAAGCTTTGCTGGTCTTTTATAGATTTTCAATGTTTTGTAGATAAGCAGACCACAAAGTTAAATAAGGATGCTGCCGCTGCTGATGTTTTTATAATTAGTGAATTTGATTAGCCGATACAGAGTTCAGGTTGAGTTGTGCTATTTTCTGTACATTTCCAATAAATCACTTCTCTCTGCCTACATAGCAATCTGTTCCCTTGTACCAAGACTGCAATCAGTTTCCACAAGCCAGCACTATGAATGATTAGACTGGTTCAAAGAAACGATTATCCTGTCAGATCAATATTGCTCAAAAATGGCGCATTTATTCACGTACATGTATGCAGCCCAATGTCGGGCACATATGCCATATTAAGCAGGGCATCGATTAATTGATTAACTGTTGTGTGCTTTCACAAAGAAGTCACTTTCAACTTATGCATAATTGATACCAGCAAGTGAGTTGGGACTGAGGGAGAAAGGTGGGGGCAGTGCGATGAAGCAATAAGCCATTTGCAGTGGAAGTATATGTGGTTTGGAGCCATATAACCCAATTTAAAGTGATTGCTTATACAAGCACTATGCAGCACTGCCTCTGTGGTGCTCTCTGTTCTAGCCGTCTCCTTGCGAACACTGAGGATCTCCTTAATGTTGGATGACTGAGATTATGACAAGTCGGCAGCTGATTTGACATCACAGCAACAGCAGCGATCGCTCTTCTGTATGTGTGGATTAGCCTTTCAGCTTGCCATCAGCACGGGTTGTCATTTACCATTGTGCTCTGTTGCCATGGAAGATTCACCCCTTTTTACATCTACCTGACTCCTTTCATCACAACATGACATACAATGACAATGACTACAATCCGGTGTAATGACATTTAGCATTTGAAGGCAGTGCTGTCATGTATACTCATAGTGATTTACCTACATCCTTTGGTGAGGTGGCTGGCAACTAGGCTCCAGTCACTGAAGGATTAATTGGATCTGATTCAATATATTTATACGCACATATAAGATCATTATTATTGGATTAATATGGGATTTAGCAGATACACTATCATGGGATGACAGAATCGGATTTGTTGAGATTTCAAGCTAGAGATTGCAGTTTTGAGGATGTAACTGCTGCAGATTATAGTGATAGTCAGCAGCAGCAACAACGCAATGAGTGTTCATACTTGCTAGAAGACCATATTCCTCTGGTATGCAGTTTTTACGTATCAATTCATATATATGTATATATACATACATACATACATGTACAAACTTGCATAATTTAGGGGGCATGTGGTTGATTATGTAGTGTAATGTATATGTCAAAGTTGCTCACCTGAAAGCAAGCACAGAAGTTCCAATGGATACTTAGTACTCGTCTAGCATGTGCAAACATAACAAAGCTTGGGAATTCTGAATGTTATTTGTGGCTATGAACAAATTTTCCATTAATTGTGTGAATAAGTGCTATAAACAGTTGTTAAAACTGGGGTCTAACTATCCATCTGCCTACATGTATGTATGTCTGATCGCCAAATTGTTTTTGTCATAATTTGTATATAGTTAATTCAGCAAAGGCAACCATGATTTCATTATAAATATCTCAGAATGACATTTGCAAATAACTTGGGGAGTCTTATGCTATATTGGAGAATCTGTTTTCAATTAGGCTAAAAAGAGGGAAATTTGATATATGCCTTGGTGGGCACAAATGCATACACAATGTAGTATTGCCTTCTACAAGCTTTCAAGGTATGCTTGTCACATAAAATCCTTGGAATAGAGTTAGCACAGGAAGTGCTGCAGAAATTGAGATTCCCTTAGTGTTTTATAGATATTAGAGCACTTGTCACTACCACAGCAGAAGATGAATCATTCTCTCACATACACAAAACTAAAGTCATCAATGAAGTTATCAGTGTGAAGATAAATTATTAATACAAGGATATTTCATAGAATAAGAATGTAATAAGCAGACTAGTTGTGTGCTATATATTTTTTGGCACATGACGAATTGAGCAATCAATAAATAGAAAAAATGAAGACCTGGCATCTCTGACCTAGAGCAAGGCATAAGAAATGCATACTAATACTGAAGTGGCCTTTCTTAGACGAAGTGTGCAGAAAGGAAAAAAATGTGTGCACCATCTTAACCTCAGTAACCTGAACTTAAGGGGATAACAACTGTTCGTTTTAACCAAAAAATGGATTAGAATAGATTATCTTGGATTTTATGTTGGCTTGAAGAATAAATTAGATGGTTTGAACAGTATTAAGAAGTTGTTGGTGCAAATGAATGTCCTAATGTCAAAAAAAAAAAAAAAGAAAAGAAAGAAACCCCCGTTTAAGGAACACCATTAGTGGAGTACGATCAAGATTGTTTGAGTAAACAAACAACTTAATTAAACCAAACCAAAAGGCTTCGTGTTAACTAAGCATTTGATTCCTAATCACTCTCTTCTTGTCAGACTTTGTAACAGACAGTATGGTATTGCAAACTATCATGCTTACTACTACTGCACTGCACAATGTATTTTTCATTTCTACCATCACTTGACCTCATTGATGTCAGATTCAGCTGATATTTAGGCTGTGCTCAGATGGTTTTAACCAAAAATTATTAGTGCTTATTTCATTTAGGAGACGCCCACAACTTGCCCACCCTACTACCTCAACCTCAGGGCTATAGAATCCCTCTTTTTCTGTGAAAGGGTTAGCAATATCTCTTCTATGGCTTTTACTCATTTACTTCACCAAAAAAAAAAATGAATCAATAATTTCCCTCATAAGTGTTTGATACTGATTCCCATTAGTATAATGATGTCTGTTTCATTGAAGTGAATTTGTAGATAGAGTTGGATAGATTCTCTGAAAGTAGGAACAGTCTAGTGGAACTGAATAGCAGTTTGCTAGTTATCATTTTATTATTTATTTATTTATTTATTTATTTATTTATTTATTTATTTATTTATTTGTTATTCTTTTTTTTTTTTTTTTAGGTAGTAAAGGATTTGAAACAAAATTGGACATTCTTTAGCTTGAATGTTTGACATTATTATTATTATTATTATTATTATTATTATTATATGTTCTTCAAAATTTTAATTTTGAAATTTTCAAAATTTTAATTTTGAAATTAAAATTTTACATTGATTTGCCAGAGGACATGTCACCTACACATGTGAAATATTGATACCTTGGCCATGGAACATAGTAGCCAGAAGCTGATAAAATAAGGAGGACTTCATCAAAAAAATGTATAAAACTTATAAATTCATACCTAAAGTCATTTGAATAAAGCAAACATTTATATGCTAGCATGCCCATAGCACACATTATGTAATGCTGAAACACTAGTCGTAGGCCCTACTTTTATTTCAAGTCAAAACTTTTTGTACACAACTTGTTTATTTTACAATCACTGAAAGTTGCACAGTGAGCTTTAGACTTATAGGAAAATGGTTCTTTACCTTTACCCCTTAATCACTTAAGTCTAGCAAAGCCAAAATTGATAGCAAAATTACAATTCAAAAACAATATTTTTTTTTTAGTTCATAGTTTGCAGTCTTGAAGCCAACCAGTAATGGAGACAAAGGCCGGTGAATTTTTTTCAATGGAAATGATAAAATTTAGAAAATAACATGTGAACAACAGTTTTATAGATCATTATTTTCACAACAAATTTTGATATTATGTACTTTGGTAATGAGAGGGGAAGGGCTAAAATTTCCAGGAAAAAAATTGTTTTGCTGTTGCCTTTAACCCACAAAATACCTTGTGTACTTGTTTATTTGATTATCATTATGGCAGTTGAGTCTGAAGGTTCTACTTTAGATACCAGATGTTTTTATAAGACTACTTAGATGAGAATAACTTGGTATAGAAAACCAGATGATCTGGCTGTGTAGTGAATTTATGAGATTCGAAGATAAGGCGTTGGCCTGTTTTCAGTTTTAAAATCATATTCGTCTGTACCAAGGATGTAATAAAATTGTCAGGACTGATCTCTCACTCCCCTTCATTTTCTCCCTATTAAACATGAACTGTATCTGCATAGCAGGTGATTTCTGATGCTGATTAATGGCTCTTTCCTCTTAAGGTTTTACTTCAAGCAATGCTGACTGCACGATCTGCTTTCTGTGGCATACATAGGTTTGTTATCCTGAGGGGCCTTAACTAACATAAGTGAAATAATGATCATTTCCTAGTCACTGTGTCTGTTAGAAAGTAACTGCCATTTTCTTTTGATATTTAATGAGGACCTCAGAGAGGTATATTTTTAACATTGCACAAGAGTTTATTGTACCTGTGATATGTCAGCCTCATTTTATGTAATTACTTGTTTTCCAGGTATGCCTCTAAATGTACCATTTACGCTTTTCTATGTCAGCACCATGCTGCGCTGCATAGCTTAGCAAGCCCCTTAGAATGAGGAATGAGAAAAGGAAAATACAGTCATTGCTTCAATTTTGTAATTAACATAAGATGTATTTTGATATTTCTAGGAATCCATCCATCAGAACTCTGCCTCTCCCCCACTGACAGAGTGCCTTTCTCGTCCCTCCACTGCAGGATCGCTGTCAGAGATATGTCGTATATGTCACTGCGAGAGCGAGGTGGACAACCCCCTCATATCGCCATGTGTTTGCTCGGGGAGCCTGCGCTACGTGCACCAGGACTGCCTGCAACAGTGGATCAAAAGTGCCGATACAAAGTCATGTGAGCTCTGTAGATTTGAGTTTCGTATGACAACAAAGACAAAGCCTTTCAGAAAAGTAAGTGATGTTTTTGAAGTTGAAGGAGGAGTGTATTTAAGCCAAATGTAAGATTATGAGGGATTCATAATGCATGCCTCTGCCATTTCTTTTATCTATCTCCTGTAATATTTGGTTAAGGTCTTTAGTGGTATTGCTGAGTTGGGAAAGATGGATGCCGGTGGGTGCTGGATTAAAAAAAATGTTGATCTTCAAACTTTGCTAAAAAATTATGTTTTACATTAGCATTCCATAATATATCTGGCTGTGTTCTCTTCTCCTACAGTTTGCAATCACTTTTAATGAATTCTTATATAAGGGGCCATTCACAATGAGTTGGAGTAGATCATTTTGTGTTATAACTTTCTACCATTTACATAATTGTAGCCTTTTTCTAGATTTACTGGTATCTCTCAATCTCCTCATATTCATATCAATCACTACTTTCCATTTCGTGTATGTGATCACAACTGCAATTTCACAACTCAGTGTAATGGTAATTTCAACATTTTGCTGGCTTTTCTGTAATAGGCTGCAGCAGACAGATAATGATTATCAGGATTTTGAATGTCACTTCTTTATCAAATGAATGTTTTGTACTAGGTTTACATATATTTGTTATTGTGTGAAAGTAAGCTGTGCTGGGATATTTCATTACCATTTATTGTGTGAGTGGGGATTAGGTTTAATAGAAGTAGGAGTATGGTATGAAGAGGAATATTTGAAATGTGTGTATCCTCTGATTGACTGAACAAATTAGTTATGGTACATTAAGTTTAAGGCGACAACTAGGCAGCTCTCCCTCTGAATTGATAAGAAACTGATTAAAAGTGACATTTGCCTGAAATAATGTCTTTGTTTTAAATTAGCTGAGATGGATTGTGATACTTTTAGTTCTCAATTAACAAATTGCAGGAATTTGGTTTTTCTTAAGCCTTGATCATTTCTCAGAAAAACTGGGATAACCAGAACTTAACTGGTGAAAAGAAAGCTCTTCATAACACTAGGTTTTCTGCAACTATATTCAGTCTACAATGTGCAGGTGTTCTTTATGTAAAGGCACAGTAAGTTTCTCTTACCCTGTTCACACCACAGTCATTTATTCAAATAAATAGCAAATAAGTTACGGATTCAAACAGTTGTAATAGTCTGGACGCGTGAGGATTTTTGTTAACCGGTTTCTCAAAATCCTGTTAGCGGTGATCACTTTTTAGGATTTTTCAGATGGCAGTGTGAACAGGGTATATGTATATATAGTATTCCTGTGTCTAAGTCATCACTGTCACTTTCCAATCCTTCAAATTAGTCACATTTTTGTTTTCCTTCAGATTTATATACAGTCGTGTTTGGTAAAAATTCAGATTAATTTTTTTTTTCCCTTAGCAGTTGTATAGAAAAAATGAGGATTTTCATGAGAAATTGTTATTTTTCCCTAAACAGCAGAGTAAAATGCATTTAGATCTGTGTTCGGGGACAAGATTTAACTCTAAGTATCCCAAAAATATGGTATACTGAACCTAATGTGTTTACCCTGGTTCGGTAGGTTTTTACTGACCAATCAGTGAAATAACCATAAATGGTGTTCACTTGAATATTGCCATTTTTCCCCAAATATTTTTCATAATTGTAACCATTTCTGACCAAAAGATGCTTGTATTTACACTTTTTGTGTCTTTGTATATGTCAGCTTTTCTGGCTAGATATAAATTACATTTAAAAGATAGGATATCAGATGCCAAGGTGTGTTATGTTGCTGATATACACAATCCAATTAAATATGCTGTATCAGGGTTCTGCCAAGGTCTCAAAAAAGGGGGGAGAATTCTCCCCTCCGAGCTAAAAAGTTGGGGAGATTTTGAGAAATAGTGGGAGATCGGGAAAAATGATATTTTACGTAAAAACATACACTGCTAGTCTGTATTGGTATTTTATTAAAGTTCACAAACTGAACTGATTCAACTTTGGAAGTGATTTTACATAGACTGTATGTATATACAGTTGCAAATGATTTTTTTATAAAAACTTTCACTTTAAGGCTACGTGCCAACAATGATACACTGCTAATCTGTACTGTCCATAGCATCTGCCTCATTATCATAGCGGAGTCAAGAATAATCTCTTAACCAATCGTGTTGAAATTTCTGTGGCACTACTTTTGGTTTCTTTCTTTCTTTCAGGCCCTTCGATGGTATTTGGTCTGCAGACCTAAAATTTAAAAAAAGTTAAATTTTCTCCTACTTACAAACTTATAATTTCTGCAACCAGACACCACAATCCAAAATAATTTTTAGGTTTTGATGATTAATCATGACTTAATTAACACTTTTATCAGGAAAAATTGTGTTTGGGTGTTATTGTTTGGGAAGGACATTTTAATCTTTGATTTATCGTTTTCACAATATTGACTACTTTTTAAAATAAAGGCTAAAGTAAAAAAAAAATATGGGTAACACATTTGGTGGAGTGCATTCTATGAAAATATCCTTGATTAGAAGGCCCTACCTTTTTTTTCAAATTAGTATTCTCACACATATATACATATCAGAAACAGGAATAAACATATCAGAAACAGGTCTCCTTACTTCTTCACTGAAGTTAAACATTTCCTTTTTTTCAACTTTTTATTCTCTCACACACACACACACACACATATATATACATTATAGAGAGATAGGAATAAACATATCAAAAACGGGCCTCCTAACTTTTTAAACTTCTTTTTCATATTATCATACTCACATAGGAGGAATAAACATATCAAAAACGGGCCTCAGCTTCTTTTTCATATTATCATACTCACGTAGGAGGAATAAACATATCAGAAACGGGACCCGTCATTTTTTAACGTTTTTTTTTTAACTTTCATACTCACATGTAGAGGAATAATCATATCAAAAACGGGTCTATTACCTTTTTTTACTTTCTTTCACATTTTCAAACGAAGTGTTAAGTGTCCTTCCAAAACGTAAAATAAAAATGCCACGGAATGACCATACCTTTATCGTCGACGAACTGTCACTGTCAGTTTCATCTGTAGTCGCATCTTCAGAAATTTGTTTCTTCCTTTTCTCAGACTTGTCAGGCGGAGAGACGGATTTACCTGACTTTGGCATAAAACTAAAAATAGATCTCTGTTTCTTAACTTTCACTTTCGGCGAGGAAGCCGCCATTTTAACCACGCTTCACCAGGCTGAATATCACTGTCATTGGTTGACTGTCGCGCGAAATGAGAGAACCAATAAAACCGCTCACAGATTCGTGTGCTACTTTAGGCCGAGTGCAGCGGAGTCACCCGAGGATTGCCGATTGGACTGTAGTCATGAAGGGGTACTATTGATATTACGACAACAAATGACGACGCTGCTTGAAACGATCTCTTACGAGGGTACACATGCAGTAAAACATCGTCGCAATATGACGACGTTACAGACACTGTGTTAACAAGTCAATGCAGCGGACGATGCGAAGAAATTTATACCGGTGATGATTATTTAGATAAACAATTTTAGACGCCACTCTCATTGTGTCTTTTATCATCTCAAGAACAATGATAGCACCCTCACTCGGTTTGTATGCGAGAATTTTCGCATCTTTGGTAATTTTTGTGCGAGAATTTTATTATTTTGGCGAGAATCTCGCAGAATCGCGGCCTCGGCAGAACCCTGCTGTATGTTAATATGCCTTTCACTTTGCATCACAGATTCATGAATGAAAGTTTTCAGAATTATGCCTGATTTTCAGTCTTCATTTTGCCCTTATTTTCATATGATCTGAGTGCGATGAGAAATTGCAAGCTATGCTTTCAGGATTTTCAGTTTTTACACTTATCACCCATGCAAATCACATTATGGTTTAGTTCATTCCTAGAGCTTTAGATTGTTTCCTTCTTTCTGTATTTCTTTCCTTCTTTTCTGTGTTTTTTCTTTAATTACAGTATATGGGAGCAAGTCGTTGATGAGTCATGTATGAAGCTAATGTTAAATATATTGATTTTCTCATGTGGCATTCATATCACACTGGTTACTGTTGCCATAGTTTAAGAGGAAGCTGTACCTTCTACTGAAAAAAAATCACAAATAAACTTTACCATTTGCGATAAAGATACAATTAACAAAGCCGCAGTATGAATTTGTTTCTTTAAAGCACACTCTTGAATCTTGAAGTACCAAAAGAGTTGAGAAAAAATGTACCAAATGATTTTTTGCGTTATTATTAAAGATGTAAAATTATCTTTTGTTTTAGTGGAGGAAGATGGAGATGACAACGATGGAAAGGAGGAAGATTATTTGCTCAGTTACATTCCATATCATTGCTATAACTTGTGTGATCTGGTCCCTTTACGTGCTCATAGACCGGACTACAGATGAGATTGAAAATGGTATGCTGGAGTGGCCATTTTGGACCAAACTGATTGTGGTCTTTATCGGCTTCACTGGTGGCCTCGTGTTTATGTATGTACAGTGCAAGATGTATGTGCAGCTGTGCAGAAGATGGAAAGCGTATAACCGTGTCATTCACATACAGAACTGTCCACCGAATGCATCCGTGAAGTTCATCACTCCAGTGGAGAAAATTGACTCAGAGAGTTTGATACAGGAGACAGCGTTACTTTAATTTAATGTCATTACTGTTATGAAGATTGCCTTTCCCCACATTGCTGTGGTCTAGATATTTAGAAAATTTCTGGACTTAGACCCCGTTCCCATACCTAGATCAATCTAACAGTTATCAATCCATCTCTGAGGGGTTTCTTGCTAAATTGCTATCAGGGTAAGCAGCTTAAACGTCTGGCAAGCCTACTGAAGCTGCTAAAAGATAGTTAATTAGATAGTTAATTAACTGTAACAGCTTCAGTAAGCCTTCCAAACATCAGAGCCACTTTAGCTGAAAGCAATTTAGCGAGAAACTCCTTGGAGTTGGATCAATCCTGTTAGATCGATCTAGGTATGGGAATGGGGTCTTAGGTACCAGCAGTGCTCTTTCGAAAAATGCATGTAAGGTTATGAACAGTAGGACTTCTTCCAAGGACAGGGTTTCCATATGCCTTGTGTTAATTCTAAGGAATTGAGGGTGACAGTGATTGTAAAATATATCAGCTGTATGGGAATAATTTGATTCTGTAAAATCTGCTTGAGAGATTGCCCTTATCACAAAATACCCAGAGGGATTATTAGATTATCATATCACAGAACAACCTTATATTGGAAAACTATGTTGTTGTTGTTTTTCTATTAATTTAAGGACAGTGAATTAAATAGATGATTTTATGTGTTGGTGAAAACCCAACGTAGTTATATTGCCTCCTGTCTCTGTAACACGTTAAAATTGTTGGTAAATATTTTGAAATGGAGGCCTTATATACAGATTAGGCATAAGCAAACTAGAGGCTCAGATTTGTGAGTTGTGAGCACAAATGGCCAAATTAATGACTCTTACCACAAATTTAAGACCCCAACCTAAAATTATTAGCCATGAGCACAGAGATAGGTTCCACAAACCATCAATCCAAATTGTTGGTGTGGTAATTTTATGTTGGGGTACTTAATTTATGGCTTGAGTCATTTGTGTTCCAAATCTAAGGTTTGTGTTAGCAAGCACAAGTTTAAGAGAGATGGAATGGGAATTATTTTCAGTGAAAGTATTGTAAGTTGCATTATGAAGTATATTTGTACTGTTACATTTATAAGGGATAAAGGCACAACTGAAAATATGATCAATACAATTATGAATAATCTGCAGGTTGCAAGCAATGCAGTGGATTAGTAATAGGTTCAATTTTTATGGTAGAACAGATGTGTAGCATTCCAATATGTTCAACTGTTTAGTCCTGTTGACACCTTTGTATCAGTTTAAATGCCATAGTTTTTCTGAACAGTGAGATAACCCTTTGCTTTATTAGCTTCACATTAATAATATAAAGTTGCTGTTCATATTTTGCATATTGCTTAGAGCTTAGTCACCATTTGTTCAAAAAGATGAGCTCTTAGTAATGCAATGCCACAACTCAGATACATGTACTATAATTTGCCATTCAGTGCAAAGGTAGATATATTATTTTAGCAAAAAAAAAAATAAGAAGAAGAAAAGAAAGAAAGAAAAAAAAGAAAAATAATCCATGTCATGAAAGTAACCATATATATTTAGAAGCAAAGCACTGAAATGATAAGTTATAAATGTATGACATTTTGTTCGAGTCTTTCTGCCTTTGTGCACAAATAGGGCAGTATTCTACTGTAATAATCTCATACTGACAGTGAAGTCTGGGGAGTGAATCTCATGGGTCATTGCCTTTTTTTTATGTACAGACACAGATGTGTCTGTACATATTGCCATCACCTGCGTCTGTCGTCGCCGTCCCTGTCGCCGTCGATGTCGCCGTCGCCGTCGCCGTGCACTTTCATCGTTAACACGATAAGTGGAAGACAGTTTTACTTTTTGGCTTTATATTTACAGAGCTGATGAATATTCATAAAACGCAGGTCAAGTTCGAAAATCAGCATGTTTGGGCAATTATTGTAGTATTTATGCTGTGTTTTCACTTTTTAGCATATATGCAACACTGTTAACACATTTCAAGGAAAACCGATAGGCCTGTTGTCATGAAACTCACAGGAGTAATTAATCTTACTAAAACGCAGATCAAGTTCGAAAATCGGCATGATCGGGCCACTATTTTAGTAGTTATGCTGTTTTTTTCACTTTTCAGCATATGTGCAACACTGTTAACACATTTCAAGGAAAACCGATAGACCTGTTGTCATGAAACTCACAGGAGTAATCAATCTTACTAAAATGCAGGTCAAGTTCGAAAATCAGCATAATCGGGCCATTATTTTATAAGTTATGCTGTTTTTAAACATTTCCTCAGATTCAATTCTTAGGCATGTTAACAGTCTCATTATTTAACTAATAAGATTCGTAAAAGTGTTTGTTTGACATTTCCTGCATCTTTACAACATTGTTAGTTGATTATGTAAAAATGATGGTAAACTTGTTATCATGTATTGTATAATAGAGTTTCAAAAATGGAAATAAACTCATATCATTGCAGTTTGTCAGATTCATTCATTCACTATGTTCAGAAACTCAGAATGGAGGAAATTGGACATTAAACACTGTTCTATTGATATTTTTCCCATCTCATCAATTTTCTTAGTTGATCATATATAAATGGCAGTAAATTGTTAATTTTGTTATGTGTTAAAAAATTGTTAAAAATGAAAAAAAAAACATTTCAGGACAGTGCTGTCTTGTCTACATTTTGGCATTTTCAAGGTGTGACTTTGAAGTTCCTTTGGCCTGAAGACCTTTGCTAGGAACATTTTCTGAATATCCATGATACTAATATTTTATTATTAAAAATTGATGGTAATTATCCTGTTAAACATTATGTAATAGTGCATCAAAATTTGAAGACACCCCTATTTTGGACACTGCTCCCATGATGACCATTTAAGGAAAACCATGTCACTTACTGTTCTCAAACTTACAAGAAGAAACATGGGACTTAAATAAAGCTTCAGTGGGCAATGCAGACTATTTGGTAATTTTTTTTGGCAGTTAATCAGCTTTTTGTGAAAATTTAATTTTTCACATATTGGCATTTTCAAGGTGTGACTTAGAACCTCCACGGGCTTGAAGACCCATGCTAGTCACATTTTCTGAAAATCCACGATACGGATCTTTTATTATTAAAAACTGATGGTCATTATGCTGTTAAGCATTATGTAATATTGCATTAAAATAGAAGAAAACACAATTTTGGGTGCTGCTGCCATGATGACCATTATGGGAAAACCATGTTACTTATGAGTGTCAAACTTTCAAAAAAGAAACAAAGGACTAAAATGCAGCCTGAGTTGGAAAAGCAGTCTAATTGGCTTCTTTTTCTGGAAGTTATACATTTTAGTGAAATATTCATTTTTATCATGTTGGCATATTCATTGTGGGACTCGAAGCTCCCATGGACATGAAGCCAAATGGTAATCAAATTTTCTACATGTCCATGCTATTTGTAGTCAATAATCAAAAATTGGTGATAATTATTCTGTAATTTATTATGTAATGTTACATCAAAATTGACAAAAATCTTTTTGCACTGCTACTACAAACATTATGAAAAGAAAACTATGTTACTTATTATTATTTTCAACTTACAAGTACGATTTGTAGGATTGGCATGCAGTTCAAATTAGAAAGCCAGCTCAAATGGGTTATCATTTATTATTGAATTTAAGCAGTTTTATGTGAAATTTTCATTTTTCTCATTCTGGCATTTTCAAAGTGTGAACTTAAACTCCCATGGGCCTGAATCCTTATGCTTGTTACACATTTCACTTACATTGGTATTACCTGTTGAGCATAATTAAAATTTGATGTTGAATTTGCAGTTAAGCATAATGTACTTTTGCATCAGAATTGACAGTAGCCTGTTTTGTGCATTGTTATTGTCTGCTTTTTGTCTGTACATTTGACAGCTTTGCTGCCTTGTTTTTTTTTAAGAATAATTTTAAAAAATGAAATAAACTCTGGTTTTGGTTTCCAGGGCCCAGTGAATACTACAGTCTTGCCTCAGCAGACACTCACTTTACACACTTGAATGCTTGGGATGATTCAGTAATGACAGAATTTGATATTCAGTATGATTATTTATTTATTTATTTATTTATTTATTTATTTATTTATTTATTTATTTATTTTTGTCCTTTGGTTTTAGTTAAATTTTGGGTTGAAGTTTAAAAAGAAATAAAATTGGCAAAGTTAGGTTATGTGTACTTATCCTATATATATAGACTGTACAATGAAGAAAGGAGATGTTCCAAGCTGTGATATGTTCTATAAAAACAAGGACAGATAATCATTTTTAAAATCCGAGTAGGAATAAGATGGTGCTGTTAAGTACAGGTAGCAAACAAAAGTTGTTATCAATCTCATTTAATGTAATTATTTAACATAAAAAAGTATTTATGTATATGCATGCACTGTATTTGTAGCTCTAATGCAAAAGTATGCACAGTCTTAAATTGGCACAGCTGATGAAAAAACTGTCTTTATGTAAAATCTTTTATTCATGGAATGGGGTTTAAGTTAAATTAGGGATTATGGAAAACCAGTCCCTAGCATGTTAATATGATTATCTGAGGGGTATGTAAATTTATATGTAAAAAGGAAATTGAATGTATTTCCAAATAGAGGGTCTGTTGTGGGTGTTCTCACAGTTTTTTTTTTAAGTTGATATATATTGATCCAATATGAAAAAGGACAAAGGATATTGATGAGCTTAGGATACAAAAAGCTTAACCTAGAAGATGCATATATTTCTTTGTACACTTGTTGCACAAAATTAAAATGATCCGTTTTTTTAATCAAAACTTTACATCAGCTGAGAGACTTTTCATTTACTTTAACATTAATAAATGAATTATTATCATTGAATTGTTTTGAAAATGGGCCTTGTTAAGAAAAAGTATAAAAAATCAATATTTTAGAACTTTATTGTGAGCTTTGCAGTTTTTTACATAGATGTAAAGCACCAGATAATTGTTGAAGACAATTCTCCCGTTCTCAAGTCCCATGAACTGTCTCTTTATATATATCGTATTGATCCCTAAAATGTAAAACTGGTGCTTTAAGTGTATTGCTACAGCTATAAATCTGTCTGTGATGTTGCCGGTGGCTAGCGTAGTACGTGTATAAACGAGTCGCTACATTTACTAGATTCTAGAATTGTGATTGTGAGGCATAGTTGTATGTTATTGGTTTTGACAGCAGTCACTTTGCTTTTATGTTCACAATGTCGTTGTTTATAAAACTAATTTTTTCCAGTAAATGCACCCTTTCTATTGAAAGTGGTTCATTGCTACACGTGTAGTTGGTGCACAGATATTTCGCACCGTTTACGTATTTGTTAACTTTAAGTGACAAAAGTTGTAATAAAAGCAGAAAATAAGACGTTTAGTTTTATTGGTGCTTTTGTATTTCTTGTAGTGCGTGCGGAAAGAATATTTCCATGTACTGAAAGCGCGATGTACGGCTGTGTGGATAAACGAGAAATTTCCTCTGAAGCTCCTCAATAAATTGCGTTTGGTGCGTACATATCTTTATTTTATTACAGCTAAAGCATTACGGATTGGCATTACAGAGTAACGATTTTAGAATTTACCAACACGCCGCTCTTCTAAAGAATTACGGTGTAAAACGGGCCCTAGATGTTTTAATGCTGTCCTGTCTCAAACCCTCTAGCAGGGTCGTAGATTTCATCATGTGCGCTCCTCTGACACAGTGCAAAATATATTCATTATTTAACTACAAACATATCTGTGATTATCTTGTGAAAAATCTGTGGCCCTGCTGGAGGGTGTCTCAAACCAGGACGAGCCATGTGATGCTATATTACTGAAACAAGTAGGCGTACTTCTAAAAAGGGGCGATATATTTTTCTTTGAATAAATGTTCAAATGGACTAAAATTTCACGTGGATAGTCTGAAGTTTACGGCAAGATTGCATTAAAACCGAAGTGATCAGTACGGAGAGATTTGAGCATAAATACCCATGTATGGTTAGCTGAGAGACTGAATAAACTCTTAAAGCCCCAACTCGTCGTTATTATAACAAGTAGTGGAGGGGGGAGTGAACGAAGACCGATCCCATTAGCTCTACCGACGCAGAGCTAAGGTGAACATCCAGACCATCGGCGTCCTCGGCAGCATCCACCAGAAAATATGTGCAGAGAAATCTTGTATCTTCATGTAAAAACTTCAAAATCATCATAATAATTTGAGGGAGCAGTACTGCAATAACACAGCCACTTATTTATCCCAAACATAGGTGGTTGCTTTAATTTTCCTTCTTATATACATGCACGACCAGGAAAGATTTAATGCACTTGAAGAACATCCTTAAGAACAGTGGATCTACATATATGTACACAATTGAAAAAAGTAGAATAATTAGTTTTAAATATCTTCATTGAAATTACATGGCTTTTTAATATTTTTTCATTTTAACACATACATGTAATCTGTACAGAAGAATGAAGAATACATCAGTTATGTGACGAATTCTTCACTAC